AAAAAAAAAAAAAAAAAAAAAAAAAAAAAAAAAAAAAAAAAAAAAAAAAAAAAAAAAAAACAAAAAAAAAAAAGAACAAAAAAAAATTAAAAAAACAAAAAAAAAAAAAAAAAAAAAAAAAATAAAAATATGCTGCAGTATTTGTAAAAGGCGGTCTCTTATGAAATTTCGGTACAAAGTTCCCTTCCTAAAGAAAAAAAAACAAGCTTTTCTCGTGAGTGGATCTGCTGTAGGTTGTTCAAGTCCACCGCAATGGTAGTAATAATACTGCGCTACACTCAGAGGTCGCACTAAAGAGTCGCAGAATTCGGAGAATCGGAGGATCTAGATCCTTGCATATGAAGTTTAAATGTGACACAATTGTTTTTACTTAATATCATTAAACATTACTATATACAAGTTGTGAAATTTGAAATTTTTTTGGATTGATTGAATGATTCCAAGGAAGTAGCTAGTTCCGTTTCGCACGCATCCCTTAGGACCGGAGAACCAGACAGACATGATATCCTCCCTCCGTGCTTATCAGTAAGGAAGGCGTAGGAGCAACAGGTTTGAGTGCGATGAGTTTAATTTTTTTTGGGAAAATTTTTTCGGAAGTATGAAGTCGGAATCAGCTACAGGTAGACCGCGGCCCGAAGTGAGCGAACAGACAGCGCTACCAGGAAGCAATGTGGGCGCCTAATGAAGTCTTTGGGGCACGATTGTAATAACTGAAATGACAGTTTCCAAGGGCAAACTGATGGGTTATCATGCCGAAACAACCTAACAACTGTAACGCAGTGATCAACAAAAACAAGTACTTCATGAGAACCCTTGACATGATCATTGTCCAGCGCCTCAGCGAATTGATCAAAAAAAGGCTCTGCAAAATTCCACGGAATAGCATTGAGTTGTAGTGTAACGTTCTTATCCCAAATTCTGGGCTTCCAATTGATATATCAGTCTTTTTATTGCAGACAGTGATACGGTACAGCTCGTTGGAATTCCTACGAATTTCTTTAGAACAAGCATTGAGCTCCTGGCTATATTCTACCTTATTCTGCCAACTTTTCGAGGAGTCTCACACCCAAAGAGCTCTTGGTTCTCTTGGTAGTTCATTGATTGTTCCGCTATGAGTAGGCTCCATAGCTACCGACATCTACGACAATGCAAGAAAATATCTGGCTATGAATGATTATTGAGAACTTCTGATACTCTTTTGTCTTTTGGTTTGTGAAAGTAAACGTTCGGAGTTTCATATTGGTGATGAACATTCAAACATCACAAGGCCTCGAAACAGCATAAGAGCTAGGAGCAAGGGAATGCCCATACAAGGAAAAACTAGAGCCTTGCTGCGAAAGCTGTCGGCGCCAAGGTAGCGCCTAATGGCGCTAAATAGCTTCGGTGCTGAAACGCTAATCAGGGCACAGGCAATCAGGCAAAGTATCAGCAAAAAGAATCCATTCAGGATTTAGGGTAGAAATATTTCAATAGAGGCAGTGAGGCAGTGAAGCTGTGTCCAATGCATCTACGCGAATCTCTTGAAGGAGTCTAAACTCAGTAAAGCAGAACATGAATCGAGGGAACGTCGGCAGAGCGTCGCACTGCTTGTCGACCACGTCGAAACATAAGAAGTATCGTCGTAACCTTGACATGAATAATGGCATATTGATGGCACTGTTCGGGGAAGTGCAGGACGCTCAAATTCAACTAAGGGGGCACTTTCGACAAAGGTAAGCGAACTGAGTAGGGTGAATCGATTTTTCCCTAAAAAATTCTTACGCAGTAAACATCGTAATGTCCGCAACGAGCGAGGTTAGAGGGTCTTTGAAAGAAGAAAAAAAATTGTTCTCTGAGAAAGAAGGCGGAAGGACGAGGGGCTCTAGTGAAGTGGTGCACTGGCTCCGCCCTTTCGGCGATCCTAATTGGTGCCTACGAGAGACATGTTTACGATGATGATATAGGTGTGAAGAGCCAGGCATCCACTCATGTTCAATGTTTTCCGTGTGGCAACGAATATGTTGAGTGGAACTTTTCAATGATGGGCTCAAGTTTCAGGAAAATCCTTGTCTTCCGAGGCCCATGCCATCTCTGCATAAGGTGAAAATTTCCGCTCAGTCAACTGTAACGGAATATTTACAGCCGTTTCCGCTGCGGACGCTGGGGCGGGTCAGGGGGAGCGGGTTGGGTTTGACGTAGCGGCAGTTTGTCTTCCACCAGCTATTGTCAGCTGCCCGCTTCAACAATTGGTAGAGAACGTTCTAGCGCAAAACCAGGCCGGGTCCCCCCTCCCACCTCCCCCAAAAAAATCCAACATCCACAGCGGACAGGACTGTCTTCATGCCCGTTCGGCTTTTATAAACAAGGGAGTGTGCCCTTCTCTCTATGCTACATAAGAAGCAGGCGAATGAGGGAGACCGAATGATCGGCGAAATGTATTCTCCGAGGGATGATTAATTAGATTACGTGCTCCTATTTTTACAATGTTGGTTTTGCAGTCCTCACGACAATATGCGCTGTGTACAGTGCATATCAGAGGGCTGTGTGGGACGTGGCTGCGACAAGTGTGGTTCAGGCGAAGAGGCAGAGGAGTATGTATAAGAGAGGACATATAGCGTGGCATGGTCGGAGGGCGCATTGAAGAAAAATTTTCTGTCCACCATGGTGCGCCCGGTCCAGTTTGGCGTGGTGGGGCACCAAATGGTACTCAACCAAATTAATAGGCCCCCTTGTATAGCACTGTAAATGTCTGTAACCAAAGTGACACACTCGCACAATTCCGCATATTCACAGAAGTTTACAGATTTCACAAAAGTGAGACCTTTTTGCTTATATGAACCAGCAAAAGAACCAACGGATGTGCAAAATGTCCATCACTTCTTCCTAGGCAGAACAGGTCGTTTGCGCACCATGTGTGGTCTATTGGAGATTTTGTAGATCATTAACATGTCAAATCGGTCCGTATGCCGATTTTTCGGTCTCCATCGCATCGATCCTTGGCTGGGCTAGGTTTTAACAGCCTTGTGAGATTTTCATGTTAAATTTTGGCTAGGTTTCGGCGATTAACCTTCGGTAGACATGCAATGCAACAAACAACCTCGCTTAAAAACTATTGGTTCAAGATAAAAAGTCTTTCTGGAAGAGAGCTGATCCCTTGAACTCTCCAAATGGTCTCTGTCCTTGTTGTTCTTTCCGTTTATCATGTTTTCACGACGGAAGCTTTCCGTGGGTGAAAGCATTGTTATCAGATGGCTAGGCGACGGCGTCTAGTCGCTGATTTTTTCAAGCGTTCGCAACCTCTCTTTCTTCGTTTAGATTTTTATGCTCCTCTATATTCCCCCACCTATTGCCTAACTGGAACTGTTGTATCTTTCACTTACGGCTTTCTTCCCTTTTTCATCCTTCTTCAACCGCAACATGCCTTACTGAGATACCTTACATGGAGAATGTCTACCTGAGATATTTGTCAGGAGGGAGGGGGGAAGAGATATTTAAGGCATTGTTCACAGTCTGCGGTCCAGCGTTTCTCTGGAACGCGGCGGTTCGGCGAAAAGCTTTCGATACGTATCGACTGGCGGTTGGGCGAAGAGTCTGGCGGTTGGGCGAAAGGGTTTTGATACGAATCGACGGGCGTTTCGCCAAACCGCGACGTTTTTCGCCTTCGACGAAACGCTAGCTCGATCGCCGTGGCGTTTTTCGCCAGCGAAATCGATACACATCTATTGCTTTTCGCCCAACCGCCGAACCGCGGCGGTTCGGCGAAACTAGCGGTTGGCGATTCTCCGATCGATGACTATTTTTTGCTTTTCTCCCAACCGCCGTTTCGTCAGGGTCGCAGACTGTGAACAATGCCTAAGAAGACATTGCGCGGCGACGCGGCCTTGTAGGCAGCGTCTCGCACGCACTGCTCGCACAAGGACCTAACTGATATCGCCTGGAAGTGCAGCAATGAGTCGAGTCGTCTAGCTAGAAGATATAAACTAGCTAGATGGCTCGTCCCAACATGGGCCTCCTAAACTAAACTCGTACTATCGAATATCAACATGTGCGACGCTGAATACGACAGAATCGTAATTATAATATTCGCGCTGGTGGCGTCCGTGTTGCTTCGGGCTCACAAATGACAAGATTTTGGGTCGCGAAAGTAAGCGAAGTGTACCCAAAAGTAGCCATAAATAGCTAAGATGTCGTGGTCTACATGAGATCAAGTGCTCCATTGGACGAGCGCGCATGTAGACTAAGAAAACGCCGCTCCCAATGCCGCGGTTTTGGTTCCTGCTTTCCTATTTTCCAATGTGGCGCTTTTCGGTTTACCTTTTGAGTAGCGCTTACCACTCTTGATCGCTATCAGTCTTTTGTCATGTTCCAGTCAATTCCTAGAAAGTACACTCCACGCTGGTCGCATGGGCGGAGACAGTCAGCTGCTGGTCTCCCTGATTGCCGCGCCTTCTTCTGAACGCTGGTGAAGGATGAGTCAATCAGCAACAAGAAAGGGACAGTAATCAGCTGTCTCCTCCCACTGCGACATTCGCGTTGTTTGATTCGTGTCATTTTTTGAAGTCCTTTTTTCCAAAGATTTCTTTGTTTTTTATTGTTTGTGCATAGTCATTACATTTCCGATAAATTCAAAAGCATTCGCGTTTTTTAAGGATAGTGGGCAAATGGCTGGAGGCGGGCGGTTGTTGTCAGTGTCATTGGTGAAAGGGTTGTCATGGGGCGTTTTGTCACACGTACTCGGCCCTTCCACCAGTAACGTTATCGGCAACCGCCCGCCCACAGCCATTGTGCCTTTTAAGACCGACCCCAGGGACACAGTTGTAGAATTTCTTTCATTTCTTCCATGCTCAATTTGGCCGGATGCGTATCGCAAAGCTTTTTTCCTCGCGGCTTCTCGATGAGTGACGAGGGCCCTGCCGCCATCAAAAGTGACAGTTGTATACGGTATACCGTGCAAATATATACCGTACGACACACCGTATACACCTGCAACTTCTGATGACCATCGCCCCCTCGCCACTCACTTTGTCCAGTTTCTTCTGTCATGCTCTTTACTGCCTTCTTGCCCCTCATTGCTCCGTGTGGCGCGAACATGATTGGGGAGAAACAACCGGGCGTGCAGCGTTACTTCCAAGTAGCGGCTTTGCCAGAGGTTAATCCGGTAAATCCACGCTAAAATGGGAAAGGTCCCGAAACGATTGCCCTGCATTTCGCTCACTGCATTTCGGCGCGAGCGTCAAAGTCAAGAAATAGTTGCCAGCTGTTTTGTTTTTAGTAAATTCATGTTCCGTCTTTCGGATGAACATCTCTGAAATTCAAAGTTGCCCTTTCAGCAGATTGTGTGGATTCCCTAAATGTGTTGCATGAGCAGTTGTTGTTGTGTGGGCGATGCGTCCACTGATAATTACGAAGACCTGTTGCATGTTAGTTTATGAGTTTTTCTTTACTTGTCATTTTTCCGTTTTCCTTATTTTCTCAGAAATCCGCAATGCCCAGGCTGCTTTTCTTGTGAAAAAATCCAAAAAAAAACCCTGAATGGAAACCCCATGGCACTGGTTTCTGTTATTTCCAGCTATACGGTCCTCAACGCCTGTAGTGAATTTAGGTTTTTTGGGGAATTACTTTTTTGATAAGCAGTCAGCGAGCCAGTGAAGACTACTGTTCTTATAACATTCAGAGGTTCTGTAAGTTTTCCAAAACAGGAGAGTAAGTGAGAATCACTCGATATTCTCTTTCAGAAAGGTCGACGATCGTGCACTGACTGTTCATTTCTGGTTCTTTTCCTGATCTTTTGCGGAGGTCTGGTGAGTAACTGTTCTGTTCATTTTGAACATACACATAATAAGTGCTTCTGATTGTTGTGACTAAGTTTTCATTTCACTATACTAAATAAAAATAAACAAAACTCTGTTCAATTTTCGAGTGAGCTGCTCATGAGATGTGTTCGCTAATCAACTTATTTGCGATGCGCTTCCAGTTACTTCCAACTGGAGCACAGTCTTCTTTGAGCGATTATTTCAGGGTTGTATTGCTTGGTATGCGTTGGAGCATGGTGACTCGTATCGTATCATTTTCGGATCAGATAGCTTTGGGAATACATGCGGTCGCAATAATGAACCAATTTGGATACGGTCGAATAATAGCGTAACAAGGAAACAGTTCGAATTTTCCGGACAGGATATGACTGACAGAAGGTAAGCAACTTCCCATTTCTCCTGTGTTTTGCTTGAGGTAATTCGGAAGAAAGCAGTTATTGGAAGATCCACACTACTTGACCAATATTTATAGAAAAATGTTCATCCTAGAATGTGTTTTCTTTTTCCATTTCAATGGAATATCATTTCGGCCGTGAGGTTGATGCTGTAGTCACCAGCCTACTCCGATCCTTTGAATCACTTTCTAATCTGAGTTTTCGATGAGTTCATTGTACACCGCAAACATCGGCGCAGCTAAAGGTCATCAGCTGACTCAGCCACAGTTTTTGAATCTATGAACTAAAGGAGATTATATCTGCAAGAGCGATGGGAGTGAGTGGGTCGTATATCCTGTAAAAAAGTAGAAGTTGTATGAGACTCCATTCGATAGGGAAAGATGAGAGTAAAAATCCAGATGAGCCACACTTACCTTGATTTACAATTCGGTTAGGTGCAGCTGCCCATAGGCACTTTGTTGTCGAACTTCTTGCCCATTTGCCCCTCGTTCATTCGGCTTTCACCTTGTCAGCTTGCATATTTGTACGTTTACTAGTACGTAGATTTCAGATTCATTTTTCCTCTGAACGCTTCGAGAGCTTTTGACACGATATGGGCTTGTGTTCACCAGTGTCCCGACCGGACCATTACTAGCTACAAAGGTAATTTCTATAGATTCATCCTTACTGTTCAGATCCGCCTTACCTTACCCTTATAACTAATTCCTCGAGTTGGACTGCAAAGTCAAAACGAATGCCGTGTGCACTTTGTTCACTAATATTTCTGGATGACCGCGGTTTTCCTTAGAAGATTTGGAAGTTGTTGGTATCCACGTTGTTTACCGGTAATTCTGCACTACGTGCAAGGCGTCTCTATTAGGTTGGCTAGCTGCCACTTCACCTTCTACACAGCCAGCCGGCAGGCGTTTTACCGAGGATTTCGCGTTTTCAAGACCGAAACAAACACCTACATTGATATTGTAATCCTGGAAACATGTCCAAAATCCTGTACATTTATCTACCTATTGCTGACCTTAACCTACTTTTCCGTAGTCTCTGGGCTGTCCGTTGCAGTACTGTGAATTTTTGTCTTTGATTCCTTTCACTTTAGGTGTACGCCCCAACTACTGTGAGCGGGCTTAAATTAGCTCTTGTGTGCTTCGTAAGTCTTCGCCCATGTCCTAACAGTTTTAACGGATGGTTATTCACTGGGGAATTCACTGTAATGCTAATTGTAAGCCGTGAAATAAAATGCAATGCGGTGGCTGGTTACATGTATCTTGACAATGCTCTTCGAATGAGATGTATTGTTCGTAACCGCCTATCGTATTGCCATTTAATTCACGGCTTAATATTTCTGTGATCAAATGGATCCCTACTGAAGAATCGCTTCAATCTTCCCATCCTAGATTTGACCTGGCCTCACACTTATGCCATACTACTGATAATAATGATTGTTCTTCAGTTCACGATTGTAGATGACTAATGCATCTCTTTTTCAGAAATTTATGAGCTAGCAGTGGACCATAATAATAGTTTATGCGTTGACTATGACTCGGCGTTGAACATCACTGAACGCAAGCCTCGTTTTGGTGTGTGTCCTCGGCTCCCGGTTTTGAAAAGGTATATTTGAAGGTTTTTGGAAGTTTTAACATTAAATCAAGTGGTTGCTTTAAACAAAGTGCTTGTTCTATTTACGATTCTTCTTCTTTAAGTGTCGATGTCATGAATCGCTGTCTACCGGAAGATTTCCTAAGTTTCGGGAAAGATCTTTTCAGTAAGGTGAGATATTAACTAGGCACGGTGGCTGGAAGTGTCACTGATGGAAGGGTTGCGAGGGAAGTTTTGCCACACCCTACTTAGTTCTTCCACCAATGACGATGGCAACAACCGCCCGCCCCCAGCCATCGTGCCCACCGCTTTAGGTCGGTAATGGTGTTCACATTTTGAATGAAGTCGTTAAGATACTTGAAATAGACTTCATCCGTGGATTCTTTCATGATCTTATTGATACTTCGCCATATCTACCGCAAATGTGTTTGTTAGCCTTGGGTAAGTGGGATTTCACTTCAGAATTGTCTTACATCATTGTGAGAACCGTTACCTCTATCACATTCTCCGTATTATGTAGCCCAGACGAAAGTGACTTTGCAGTTTTGTCGTTGTTCTCCGTTGTCCTGCTACGATTCTTCGCTGCTGTGATCATTTACTTTGTGTATTTGGCCGTTGTGGTGATCTCTGTAGGTTAGTCTCATTTATGTGTCTCCTCTTTCAATTTTGGATTTTTTTTTGTAGTGACATGAGTTAGATTTTAGTTG